AATACTGGATTCTAAGGGCAACCGAGAGCCGTAGCTAGACCGGTACACCGGGTGCCCGCGCATCCCTTGGGTCTGCGTTGCGCCCCAGGGTGGAGGTGCAACACTTGTACTTAAGGTAAAGGGGTTTCACGCAGATTGTATGGAACCCTTCCGTGTGATAAAAATTGTAACAGTTGTGCTGTATTAGTGTTGATGTAGTCAGCACTTGGCTAATGTCAGGTTTAAACTCAATCTCAACCCTTGCATCATTTGTCGCAGTTGTGTTTTGGAGGGTTATCAAGTTCCTGTGTTGACAGATTTTTCACCGATGGTTTTTGAGGCCTTAAAACGCGTCAAAATTGCCACGGCAGCCAGGTGATGCGGGAATGGTGGCGGCAAGCTGACAGCGTTAATCTCTGTGACATTGCCCACCAACTTAACTACTCCATGCACGCTGACGATCAGGGTGCGTGGTCAACGGTGATCAACGGTCAACGGTCAACGGTCAACGGTGCGTAGACACCACCGCTGACCGTACGAGTAAACCAGCTCAACATGCTCTAAATCACATGCAAGCTTAAGTCAACCGGTGGCGTATACAGATTTCCGATGCAAAATCAGCTACATTCATCTTTTCTAATCGGCGTTGTCGCACTGCGCCCGCAGCCCGCTTGGGCGCCAGCGTCCAAAATATTCCCATCGCCTCCTGTTTCAAATATATCAGGGTCACTTCGGACCGCCGTTTCACGTTTCATATGAATATTGCGGACCTTCGATAGCGCGGCTCACGACGACACATGCATTTCGGGGCGTGTTAGAAGTGCTGACCGGCGCACGCGTCTAACTCTTTGTATTACACCGGTTGGATCAATCTGGGATTATTGTGCATTCCTGTTTGATGGTCTTTCGGCCTTTCAAATTGCTTCCCTTGAGAATGTCCAAAACCTTGCCCTTCGGGTCGCTACCGCCGCGCTTCAGGCATAATCAGTGGGAAACCTGTCGGTTGACACGGACCTGCCTCAGCTCCCTCGCAGACGCAAGCTACACCCCTTCTTCATTATCCGCGCGCCCCATCGTTACTCAGCGCGCCGCCCGGGCCATACCTCACAACTTTACATGCTACCAGAAATCTTACACATGTAAAAACACGTGCTCCACAATTAGCGCGCGCATTCAACGTGCACAGGACCTTCCTCACACCCTTCCCATCACTTTCCTCCCGACGCCACCGCTCCATCCCTTGTGGAGCGACCGATCGGTCCTGTACATGGCCTACTCCCCACTAAAACAATATATCAGCGAAGTAGGAATCGCCTTAGAGTTCCGTCAGTTTCACGCCAAGCACCTACATTATGTATTTTACTCCTCTGACGAGTCCAGACAAAACGAACGAGCTGGTGCCGATTTTATTACTTCCGTCATTCCTTATTCATTTCCTCTTTTCGATTTCAGCACTTCTCGACTGCCTTGCTGCCGTGCTTGCTATCAACGCCGCCACTCGTCACTCAAAGCTGGGAAGCTTTCTCCACTGTAACACACTCCACACACTCCACTGGGAAACCTCTTCACTGACTTAACACGCACAGTATGAATAAGGTTGCTGAAACTCGTTAAGCCAGAAGGGAATTTTGTATCCCTTCAATGTTGCGACGATGCGGATCTGACTCCAGTTTTCTTTCGCCTCCGCACGCGGTTGGTGTTCTACGTTTTTGGCTTTGCTTTTGCAAAGCCGCAGTTTTCCTCCAATGGGTTCGGACTGTGCTTCAGCTGTACAATTTTTCGCGAGTGGCTCCGAGACTGTGCTGTTTTTGCCAGCTGGATTGGCTATGGCTTTGATCAATTTTTAGATGATAGGTCCGCTTCGGCTTCATGCCATTTTAAACTGCCAGCTTTGGCGTTGTCCTGTGAATTTTCCGCTGCAGTTGGGACTTTATTTCCACAAACATGCGCACCACTGCCCGCCCTGTCGCCCTAATACACTACACAGCTTTTCGAAGCCACAGCACGCATAGCTGAAAGCCAAAAGCCACACGATGATTCTTAGGAGCGGTGAACATGGCCGGCTATCGTCAGGTGTGGACTGCCCCCGGGTCTAAATTCGGCCTCGGCTTCAGCTTCGAGATGTTAAACTGATTACTTCGACTTTGGCTTCCAGTACCCTAAGCTCGAAGCTGATAACTTCGGCTTTCGCTTTGCGTAAAGAAAGTTCGAAGTCACTGACCTCAGATTCCGCGTCACGACTTAAAAGCGCGAAGCCACTGCAGTCAACGCGACTTTGCATAAATTAGTTAGCAGACAACGTGTATTTTCACACAGGCGTGAGCTCTTCGCAGCTATGCGGGTACAGTAGTCCCAAAAACGATTTTTACGGATGTTTTTCATGCCATGATTTGGTCTGTTCTTCATCTCGACATGACGTTTCGTAGACATGTCCGCAACTAGCATATACCATGTAACATTCGTAAAGCAACGAGTTTACAATCATTCGACGTGTGTGCCCGTCGGTTGGTAGACAACTTTCGACTGGCTCTTTCTACGAACAGCAAAAACTGACATCGCAATTATGGCTGACGTCAGCAGGTAGCGAGAGATTGGTACCTTCCAGAGATAATTTTTTGATTGCCGAACTGGTATATTTATGATGCATAGTTGCCTTTTACCAACATTTTGCTTTTATGACGACTGTGCAAGTTGTCATCTGATTCGCTAGGCGCCATTCCGTCGTATGACTGCCCAAAGAGCATGCAAATTTACATGGCACGCGACTTCTGTATGGCGTTGTTTGGAAATCGGAGAATTTTGATGAAATTAACGAGCGCCCAAACCGAGATGAAATGAGAGTGCATCCGTGCAAACAAAGATAGCGTATCAAAAGCAACGAGACGAAGGCAACAAAGCAGTGATTAATGAGGATATGGCAACCAAGACGGCGGATGAATCGCACACAATCAATCATCATCGTCGTGTAAATGGTCGTTATTTTTATAAATCTGCAACCGGTATCCTTGTAATATCCTCAACTAGATTTTGCCCGGCCCCTATTGCTAAATTCCTTCCCTCCACCCTTATCTTACCACCCCTTTTATTTTCAAACACATACATGCCAACGCAACGGGTGCATTGCTAGTCACTACAATGTGTGGACACACCAACGTTGTTTGCACCTTTCTGTCCCAAATTGCAACCTACTCTTTCTTCCCAGCCAGCCAAGAGTGGACGCGACACTAGAAATCGCTCAAAGCGGCGCTGTTTGAGCTGGAAATAGCATTGCTCCAGGCCGACAAAAATGGATCTGACTCTCTCCAAGTGTCTGCCCTCGTGTTTGCTGATTGGCGCACCCCGTGTGAGGTTGGTCTGGCTGCTGGCCTGAGGCAACCTTACCTGAAAATGTCCTGAGTGAATGGGAAAGCGCGAAAAATACGCGTTGCGCTAGCGTAATTGGAGCGGAACGAAATGCCATTTTAGCGGAACTGGGAGAACATGTCACCCTGCCTGCTAGCTGGTGGTTACACCCATGCCCACTATTTACACGTCGGACATCCACCACCATTTCAGGGAAACCACACCAGTGACAAACATCATGTTGCACCAACTACTGACCTCGGCGTTATTCGCGATGCCTTGTCGGAGCGGCCGTCCACCATTTTGCAGAATTTTGCACAGCTTGATGCAAGGGATAGGCGGTGAGCGGTTGGAGATCGGCTCCCCGAGCCATCACTGATATTCACCGGCCATTCACTTATTTGAAGTACATTATATGCTCAAGCTTACTCATTTTTACTTGACTTGCCAATCTGTAGCAGACGCAAGAAATAAACACTGTTACGTAACCGTGCAGACAGCACCAGCAGAGAGGCGCAGGCTGAAAGTCTATGTTGCCACATGCACTGCCACGTCCTAGGTATTTTACGACTCAATACACGTCATGCACCGAGCCGACAATATCAGCAGTACTCAAGAGCAGTCAGTATTTCCACTCACAAGGAGTGGACGGATACGACCGCAACACAGAGTTCCATTCCGTGGTTTGATTTGAGTCAACAGAATAGTCACTGTGCGGAACACTTCCCTAAACCTATATGTTTATCTGCTCACAATGTATAGGTAAAAATGCACAGAACTTACATGAACCGAGTTCGTTATTTCATTCGGGGAAAGTCATCCTCGACCATCCTGGAGGAAAAACACAATGTTTAACCGTATATTTGTATAACCGACCTAGCGGAGATGTGCGAGAAGTTATTGAGTGCTATCGATGCTTAACTACAAATCTGATCGGTTAATTAACTTGCATTTTCTCGGGCACGCCGCAGCGCTCCGAGAACGTAGCTACAAAACCAAGGCCAGAGGACATGTACCTACCCTGCGCTTAGCAAGCAGAACATGGCCTTCGGTCTGCGCTAACTTGCCGTTTGGGCTGCAGACAGTGAAGATATTTCACAAGTGTCAGTGCTCATTGTCCTTCAATGTAAGGATTGGAAGATTCCAGTGGATTGCAGCACCCAACCCGCAGCCCCCTGGCGGCCAATGCGGGTTTCTGGCCCAGTAAAAACTCCCAAGTTCAAGGCCAAACGATTACATCTGCAAAACGGAGCACTCCAGTGCAATAGATCCCCGTGGAGAGGCTCCAACAGTACCTTAGAGTGGCCGGGCTGATACGATGCAGTCACTGCTTTGATGATCTACTGTCATGGAGTTGTTTCGTGTACCGGTTTCCTTTCAATCCTTTCACACTTTAATCACTGCGAAACTGAGCATTCCATTATTAGCTCGTGCCGTCGATTTCGAAGCTCATATTCGAAAAAATTCTGGGTAACTTTTTGAACTGAATGATCTCTTTTCGCTGTGCTCTTTTGTATCAATGGATTCGATAAAAAACAGATGCATTAAGTGAAACGCCTACTCAAATCGTTTAAACGACAACCAGTTGGGCCGTTGACTTATTTCAGAACCTTGAACCTACTACCGTTGCTAATGCCATCTTGCGAACGAAATCGAAAATAGCATCAGAAGCCGGGCGATAGAAGAGCGAGGGGCGGAAAAATAGTGCGGAGTTTTGGTGATGTTCGGCGCGATACCCTTCGAAGTTATGGTTTAGGCGTGGGGACTTGCCTGCGGAAGGCCCAAGGAGATTGCAGTCTTCAAATGGAGGAAGACTACGGACTGGTAGGTGCAGGGAAGGCGTGGGTTCTGGGCGACATTGACCATCAAAACTGTGGACCAGTCCATTCGATGCTGAGGGGAGACCGTTTCTGTTTACCACGTGACTCTTAGGGTAGGGCGGAATCGTTGCATTTTAAGAGGAAATTTTATGATGAACAGCGTTTAAATACCCGTTCAAGGCTGCTTACTAGTAGCGCATTGCGGCTTTTTTTTACTTGGGTACCTGTATTGCCAACGGTGGGGAGAGAGCTACGCTGGCTGCAGGGTTCCTGTACTGCCATGATGGAGAAATGCTGTTAGGTATCAGCCGACGTAGTGACGTCACTGAAAATGGGTTTGCATCGATCTGGGTTCTTTTGGGCCGACTGAAGGCTACAAGGCTTTTGCTAGCGATATGATGTCACTGGTATTCGACTGGATATGTGACGTCACTGGTTGTGAGGCTTTAGGGCTCTTTTGGGTGCAATGAATGCCGTAAAGCATCACCTGACGATATGTCGTCGCTGGTATTCAATGAAACATCAGGCGCAACGGGCCTTATTCCATCTTTACCTTTCGTACCTGTCTGCTGCAAGCATTTGCGTGCCGAATAAAAGCTTGACCGAATCACCTGAATGTGTGACGTCACCAATCACCACTTGATACGAGTGCTCTTAGGCCCCACGGCCGCGGTGTATCATGTTCCGTGAAATATCACTGGGTATCGTGACGTCAGTGATATTCGACTAAATATTGGTCGCAACAGGTCAAGGTTCATTTTTAGCTTCGTACCTGTCTACTGCAAGCACTGGCGTGATGAATAAAAGCTACCAAATCACGTGAGTGTGTGACGTCACTGGTCATGCATTTTTATGGATCTTTGGGGGCCAACTGAGGGCCGTAAAGCATAGCCTAATGATGTGACGTCACTGGCATTCGACTGCGTGTGATGTCACTTGTGATCAGATTTTACGGCCTCTTTTGGGCCGACGAAAGGTCATACTACATTAACTGAAGATGTGCCGTCACTGGTATCCGAATACAATTCAGGCGGCCATGGCCATGCTCCATCTTTACCTTTGGTACCTGTCCATTGCAAGTATTTGAATGCTGAAGGAAGGGTCTGCCGAATTACCTGAGTGTGTAACGTCACTAACCATTAATTTGTATAGACTGTTTTGAACCCGCTGTAAGCCATACCACATCAGCTGACCATATGACGTCACCGGTTTTCGTCTAGGTGTCATGCGCAACAGGCCATGCTCTATCTTTGCCTTTCGTACCTGTTTACTGCAAGCATTCGCGTGCTATATCAAGGTGATGCTGAACCATCTGAGTGCGTGACGTCACTGGTCATGAGTTTATACAGGTTCACTTGGGCAGCCCAATGCAACAAAGCATCATATCCTGTAAAGCATCGCGGGATGATATGACGTCACTGGTATTCGACTCAACATCAGGCGCAACAGGCCGTGTTCCATTTTTACCTTTCGTACCTGTCTACTGCAAGCATTCGCGTGTTATATCACGTCATTGGTTAAGAGTTCTTACGGACTCTTTTCAACCCCCTATATGGTATAATGCTTCAGTTGACGATATGATGTCACTGGTGTTCGACTTAGCATCAGGCACAACATGTCATGTTCCATCTTTGCCTTTCGCACCTGTTAAAGTATTGGCGAGCCTAATGATGGCTCTGCCGAATCACCTGAGTGCGTCATCATGAGTGTACAGGCTATTGTTGGCCGGGAAAGCCATTAGGCATTATCTAACGATATGTCGTCACTGGTAATCCGCTAAGTGTGTGACGCCATTGGTCATGAGTTTTCCCGCGCCTTTTTGGGCCGACTTAAGGCCATTAGGCATCAGGTAACGATATGACGTCACTGGTATTCAATTAAGCATCAGATACAATATGTCATGTTTCATCTTTACCTTCCGCACCTACCTACTGCAAGTATTCGCGCGCCACATAAAGGCTCTGCCCAATCACCTGAGCGTGTGGTGTGACTGGTTATGAGTTTACGCGGGTTTACTCGGGCTGACTGAAGGACATCAAGCATCATCTGGCGATGTGACGTCACTGGTATTCAACTTAACACCAGGCGCGACAGGCCATGTTCGTCTTTACCTTTCGTACCTGTCTATTGTAAGCATTGACATGCTTAAGGAAAGCTCTGTGAAATCTCCTGAGTGTGTAATGTCACTGGTCATGAGTTCTTTACGGGCTGCTTTTTTGTATCTATAGGGTACAAGACATCAGTTGACGATATGACATCACTGGTATTTGACTTAATCTCAGGCGCAACAGGTCATGTTCCATCTTCGCCTTTCGCACCTCTATACTGCAAGTATTCGCGCGCTACATAAAGGCTCTGCCGAATCACCTGAGCATGTGGTGTAACTGGTCATGAGTTTACGCGGGCTTACTCGGGCTGACTGAAGGACATCAAGCATCACCTGACCATATGACGTCACTCATATTCGGGCTGTGGCCCAGACTTATGGCCGCTAGGCGGCGCCCTTGATTATTATTTAGCCATCAGGGCATTCCGGACCGTAGCTGCTCAGGGGCGCATCCTGTGATGTCGGGCGGAATAGCTTTGCATATACGTCGGTTTGTGGGCTGGGATCACCTTTGTTTTGTGTTTACGTTTGTTCAAAATTTTAGTCGTTGAAACAGCCCGTTGCGTTTGAAGTTGTTACTTAATGGTGCGCACAATAAAATTAGTGTGCTTAACTATGGTGCATCTCCCACCTCTGCTGCGGAACTCCGTAGCCGTAGGTGGCCAAGTGACCTCCTACCAACTGATGATCAGTGACGTCACATACTCAGGTGGTTCGGCGGAGCCTTCATATAGCGCGCGAATATTTGCAGCAGCCAGGTACGAAAGGCAAATATGGAGCATGACCTGTTGCGCCTGATGTTTAGTCGAGCACCAGTAACGTCATGTCGTCAGCTGATGCATTATAACCTAAAATGGGTTCAAAGGAGCCCGTAAAAAACTCGTGACCAGTGACGTCACACACCCAGGAGATTCGACGGAGCCTTCATTCAGCACGTCAATACCTTTAATAAACAAGTACAAAAGGTAAAGAAAGTACGTGGCATGTTGGACCTGATGTTAAGTCGAATAACAGTGACGACATATCATCCTGTGATGCTTCACGGGAGGTGTTGCTTTGTGGCCTTGGGCGGCCCAAGTGAATCCGTATGAACTCATGACCAGCGACGTCACCCACTCAGATGATTCGTCTGGAGTTTAGTCGATTACCAGTGACGTCATATCGTCAGCTGATGCTTGATGTCCTTCAGTCAGCCAGAGTAAACCCGCGTTAACTCATAACTAGTTACACCACACGCTCAGGTAATTCGGCAGAGCCCCTGTGTCGCGCGAATACTTGCAGTAGATAGGTGCGAAAGGTACAGACGAAACATGGCTTAGATGGAGCATGGCCTGTTGCGCATGATGTCTAGTCGGAACCCAGTGACGTCATATCGTCAGCTGATGCCTTGTGGCCTATAGTAGGCTCAAAAGAGTGTGCAAATTAATGGTCAGTGACGTACACACTCAGGTAATTTGGCAGAGCCTTCCACGGCAATGCTTGCAATGGACAGGTACCAAAGATAAAGGTGGAACATGGTCTGTCGCGCCCGAAGTTCATTCGAATACCAGTGACGTCACATCTTCAGTCATTGCCGTATGACCTTTCGTCGCCCCAAAAGAGGCCGTAAAACCCCATGACCAGCGACACGCACAGTCGAGTGCCAGCGACGTCATATCGTTGGCTGATGCTTTATAGTCTTCAGTTGGCCGCACAAAAAATCCGCCAATACTTGCAGCAGACATGTACGAAAGGTATAAATGGAGCATGACCTGTTGCCTGATGTTCAGCCAAATACCAGTGACGTCATATCGCCAGCTGATGCCTAACGGCATTTCGTCGGTCCTATAGGGCCCGTGGAAACCCACGGCCATTGACGTCTTACAGTCGTATAGCAGTGACGTCGTTAGCTGACACCTTGTGGTCTTCAGTTGGCCGAAAAGCACCGTTGGAACTCATGGCCAGTGATGTCACACACTCAGGTGGTTCGGCAGCTTTCATCCAGCACGCCAATGCTTGCAGTAGACAAGTACAAAGGTAAAAATGAAGCACGGCCTCTTGCGCCCAGTTTTTATTCGAATACCAGTGACGTCACGCTATCCGGTGATACTTCGCGGACCACGACACACCGTGGTCGTGAGGCCTAAGTGCACTCGTATGAAGTGATGACTAGGGACGTCACACATTGGGGTAATTCGGTCAAACCTTTATGCGGCACGCAAATGCCTGCAGCAGACAGGTACGAAAAGTAAAGATGGAACGAGGCCGGCCGCGCCTGATGTTCAATCGAATACCAGTGACGACACATGGCCAGCTGATGCATTACGGCATTCCGTGGACCCAAAAGAGCCTTACACACTCACGACCAGTGACGTCACATACCCAGCCGAATACCAGTGACATCATATCACAAGCAAAAGCCTTATGGCCTTCAGTCGGCCCGAAAGAACCCCGATCCCGATCGATGCAAAACCATTTTCAGTGACGTCACAATGTTAGCTGATGCCTCACAGCTTTTGCCCCGCACGACAATACTCGAAACCCTGCAGCTAGCGTAGCTCTTCCCTCCGTCGGCCATACAGGTACCCAAGTAAAAAATTACCCGCATTGCTGCCCTTTCTGAATCTCAAACATTTTTACATGGTTCTGTTACGCTGCGCCCTGCTTTAAGGGCTGGTTATCCGACTATAGTAGCATTCAAGCATTGGGGTGTTCCGAGTACATGTGCTTAAATGCGTGCTTCCCTGTGGTTTCACAGGATAGCTCTGCAATGCTGCAATACATCATCCATTTACCACTAGCACAATCCAGTGTAACAAGACATTTTGTGGAACTGGGCCTGGGTCTGCCTATTTTGCAATAAGGTTTGTAGGTAGCCATACACTGTTATTGCTTATTAAACTCAAATGGCAAACAAA